CTCCTTGGTCAGCTGGCACATTTTTAGTACTGAAGATTCACACATAAATAGATATTAGTTTAATTGATCTTAGAAATGTGTCAACAAGTGCTGTACTATAGATTCAACACTAGATGGCAATGTACTCCACGCCAGTGTATTGAGGGGAAGTCATAAAGGAGAGGGGGAACAGAACATGTAATGAATGGGTGGATTACCCCACAAATGAAATTACACTATTTTGTGTCGTAGTTTTTACAGCACCCACAAAAAAACTTGAATTCCATTTCTGTTTTGAGTTGATTATTGTTTGGATTATTGTTTGGTTAGACTGTCTACGAAACCTTGTTTTCAGTGGCGTGCTTCTCCTTCTCCACTTTGGCCAGGGTGAGCTCCAGGTCATCAATGTCCTTCTTCAGCTCAGAGCACTCATCCTCCAGCTTCCTCTTCTTGGCAGTCAACTCAGCATTCATCTCCTCCTCATCCTCCAGCCTCTCAGTCGTCTCTTTGAGTTTGGCCTCCAGCTGGATCTTGCTCTTGATGAGCCCCTCGCACCTTTCCTCAGCATCGTTCAGATTCTCTGAATCCTGGTTTCAGAGCAGGAGAAAAAAATCAGTGGCCTCACTTTGTGTATCAAAATATAGACTTAATTTGGTCAAATAGGTCAGAGCAAATGCATTTAAATGCATGAAATATAAATATATACCATGGGGCAATAAAAAAAATTGAGATAACCACAGTGTGCGTGTGTTCATATGTGCAGATGTGTGTGTGATTGTGTTCGTGTCTGTGTTCATGTGTGTGTAAATGGGCTCTTATGAGTGTCGTCGCTCACTCACAGATGCGACTTGAAGCGCCAGGTCATTCTTCTCCTGCACCATGGCCACCATCTTCTCCTCCAACTCCTTCTTCTTGGCCAGAGCCTTGGCCAGGTCCGTCTGCATCTTCTCATAGTTCTCCTTCATGTTGGCCAGCTCCTTCTCAGTCTCTGCGGTCTTCAGCAGGGGCTTGATCTTGAAGTACATGCCTTCACATCATGATGAGCGATGTGTACTGATGGTGAGACTGATCTCACGAAAGGAAGTAGTCATGGTGAGTGGCAGGTGAGTGGCATGGGAGTGCATGGTGATGGATGGTGAAGACTGTGAATGGTGATGCCTGGTGGTCTGTGCGAGGCAGGCTGGTGAGTGACATGGTGATGCTTGGTGGCATGGAGTGGCATGGTGAGTGGCATGGTGAGTGGCATGGTGAGTGGCATGGTGAGTGGCATGGTGAGTGACATGGTGAGTGGCATGGTGAGTGGCATGGTGAGTGGCATGGCATGGTGAGTGCATGGTGAGTGGCATGTGAGTGGCTGGTGAGCATGGCATGCTTAAAAACTCCTCAGTAATTTTATTGAACGTTTTCCTGTGAACAGCGATATCCCAAGTATAAACACACGTAAAGGTACACACACTCAAGGAGAAAAATGTATGGTTTTAAGAGAAACGATATGTGTTCTAAGACACAAATGCAAACTTCAAAGAGTAGGGCATTCCCAGTTCTGTTGAACAGGAAAAGTTTAAAAAATCACTGGATGATCGTCTTTAAAGCTACATTCTGAGATTCGAAGAACGAAATGGGGACCCACGTCACTTTTTGCAAACAGCTGAGGAATGGAGTTAGGGAACTGTAATCCCTCTTAAATGTATAGAGCAGCTCTCTAGGTGGTCCTCTGTAGCTCAATTGGTAGAGCATGGCGCTTGTAACGCCAGGGTAGTGGGTTTGATCCCCGGGACCACCCATACGTAAAAATGTATGCACACATGACTGTAAGTCGCTTTGGATAAAAGCGTCTGCTAAATGGCATATTATTATTATTATTATTTTTATAGGTGAAATTACTGACAGGTAATGCTAAGATCATGAGGCATTTCATATTCTTCAAGAATGAATGGGTAAATATCACTAATTTAAATAACAATTGAACAGCTTGCTAAATCCCAATCTGCTGCTTTAATAGAATATTATAACATACTTTCTCATAGTGAACAACTCACAGCATATACAGTCTGTAATCATAATGCTTTACATACAGGTGGTTGACAGAATTCTTTGCCAAGTTGTCTACTATTCCTCACCTCCTCTCCATCATCTTGGTGAACTCTCTCCTCATGAGGAATCCACGGCTGAGAGCCTGGACCATGCCGACCAGAGAGGCCAGCTTCTCATCTCTCATCTCCTCAAGGACACCCAGCAGACCAGCTTTGAAGAACACCTGACACAGGTAAACATGGTCAATTATGGAACCTCTGTCAGATGGTGACAGATAGAAAGGGTTGAATCAAAAGAGAGGAACAACGCCACTAGATTGATTTCACCAACATAAACATTGCAATGCTTACAAACAAACCATGGGATAGGTTGTTTATAAGTTGTAAGTTATTTTACAGTTGTAGATGAATAATGTACACTGATACAGATAACTGCAGCCACACCACTCTGACACAATGCACATGATAATTAATTGAAATCAATGTTTTTTCAAATTTTTAAGAAATAATAAAAAGATGAATGTATCCACTGGAGAGACATTGAATGGTTAGAATTTATATTATCATTGAGGTTGTGTTTTATTGTTAGCTTTTGCTGGGGGTATTTGACTGACCTTGGTGTGTCCAAATTTGTAATCCTCATGATTCACATCAATGGACCCAAGCAGCTTCTCAGAAGCCTTCTTGTTGTCCATGAACTGGCCCTCGGGGATGACACTGGCATTCAGTACTTTGTACCTGAATGAGGAGACGTAGTAAATGTCAAGTCGTAATAGGTTGGTTATATTACGTTAAAGAGAAGCCTATTCTGATGCTGGGAAAACCCTTAGAGCAGATCTTCTTGTGGTTGTGTGTGTGTGTTTGTGTGTGTGTGTGTGTGTGTGCGTGCGTGTTGCGTGCGAGAGTGCGTGTGTGTGTACGTGTGTGTGCATTTGTGTTTGTGTGTGTGTACCTCTGCTTGAAGTCAGCATAGATGATTCTGCTGGGGAAGCCCTTTCTGCAGATCCTGATACCTTCTAGAACACCATTACACCTGAGCTGGTGGATAACCAGGAAGTTCTCCATCAGACCTGGAAACACAAACCAAGTCTCATTAACAGGTTAAAGATTGGTTCGTTAAGGTTACTGATACTGTACTGATAATATGTCATATTTAACTCAATATATCTTGTACCAGGAGTCTTTGACTCGTTGGGGATCAGGCAGCGCACAAAGTGAGGATGAGTGCTCCTCAAGTTGGTCATCAGCTTATGTAAGTTCTCCTGTAAGAGGGTTACAAACCATTTTTTCAGAAATCATTTCTGATAATCAATGCACCTTTAGGAAGCCTGAATATACACATTTTAAAAGCTCACCCTGAACTGGGAGGACACAGTCTGCATGGAACCACCCTTCTTCTTGCCCCCTTTCTTGGTTGTATCTGTTAAAATGGGGAAAAGTGATATATGATTCTAAATTAGAGAATATCAGGTTAACTTCACACGTATCTTAATGCAAATGCTGCCAATGAGATTGTGTAAAATAACACCTATTGTATGAGTAAATTAACCAAGTGAATAACCCAGAGAAATCGTGATACATTCAAAGACTTGAAAGAAAATGTTGTAACTAATGCTAAATTAAATATTTTAATGTGATGCTAGTCTTACCCTCAGGTGGGGCAGCGACATACAGGGTAGCCATAAGTTTGACTGAGGACTTCCCGTACAGCTGAAGAACTGAGTCGTTCAGGGGGTCCTTGTTCTTCTCCAGCCAGCCAGTGATGTTGTAGTCCACCGTGCCGGCGTAGTGCACCAGGGAGAAGTGGGCCTCTGCCTTGCCTTTAGCAGGCTTGGGCTTCTCAAACGCCTTGGTTTTGCCAAGATGTTGGGCATACAGCTTGTCCTTGAAGGTAGTGTCTGAAGACTTGGGGAACATGCACTCCTCTTCAAGGATGGAGAAGATTCCCAATGGCTTTACGAAAAGAGATGTATATCAAATTAGTGATATTTACATTTAGGATCACATTTATTATTTTAGAAAACATGCTATTATACGATTATATTCATTTAGCGGCACATAATAGGAAACAGAGTTCTCAACAGTCAGATACGTTCTACCACTGTGATAATATCTCACACAGCGCTCTCTATGAGCTTTTGCTGTTGAGGTCCATTACAATCCTGACAGACAGTTTACCTTCTCAATAAGCTCAATGCAGGCAGCCAAGTCCATGCCGAAGTCAATGAAGGCCCAGACGATTCCCTCCTTCTTGTACTCCTCTTGTTCAAGGACGAACATGGTGTGGTTGAAAAACTGTTGCAGTTTCTCATTGGTGAAGTTGATGCACAGCTGCTCCATGCTGTTGTACTGTTGATGGAATTTGAAAAGGGATCATTTCATCATACAGGGCTGTAATCCATCTCAATCACAACTAATTGTCTTGTTCTGGTGTCATACTCACATCAAAGATCTCAAACCCGGCAATGTCAAGCACACCGATATAGAACTGCCTTGGATTCTTGGTGTCCAACATCTCGTTGATACGGATGACCATCCACAAGAACATCCTCTCATAGATGGACTTGGCCAGAGCCGAGACTGAGTTATTAACCTGCAATGATAATACCTCAAATGAATACATGAGACATTGACCATGTATAGTGAGAAGGTGAGAAGACATCACTATTCAAAACAAGCAACGCACTAATCACCTAAATATTTCTGGTGCTCAGAAAATGGTAGATGCTGTGTTTGGCCACCTTACCTGAGGCACAGTCTGTCCCTTGGTCACATACTCGTTGCCGACCTTCACTCTGGGGTAGCAGAGGGCCTTCAACATCTCAGCTGAGTTCAGGCCCAGCAGGTAGCCGATTTTATCAGACACTGGAGAGAGAACCAACAACAACAGACTCAGGAACACAAGATCACTTGATTCTGATGTCACACTGACAAAAGGGTTTGGCCAAGTTTTTTATGGGTTAGGTTTTGATTTGAACCCACATCCATCATTTCAAATCATTTCTGGAGGTTGGAATTTGGTCTCCATAAATGATCTCCTGCCGGACTTTGATGAGGCGCTGTCTGTCTTACATATTGTATATCTATGAGTGGGACTGGGAATGGGACTAATGCTTTACATATTGTATATCTATGAGTGGGACTGGGAATGGGACTAATGCTTTACATATTGTATATATGAGTGGGACTGGGAATGGGACTAATGCTTTAAATATTGTATATCTATGAGTGGGACTGGGAATGGGACTAATGCTTTACATATTGTATATCTATGAGTGGGACTGGGACTAATGCTTTACATATTGTATATCTATGAGTGGGACTGGGAATGGGACTAATGCTTTACATATTGTATATCTATGAGTGGGACTGGGAATGGGACTAATGCTTTACATATTGTATATCTATGATTGGGACTGGGAATGGACTAATGCTTTACATATTGTATATCTATGAGTGGGACTGGGAATGGGACTAATGCTTTACATATTGTATATCTATGAGTGGGACTGGGAATGGGACTAATGCTTTACATATTGTATATCTATGAGTGGGACTGGGAATGGGACTAATGCTTTACATATTGTATATCTATGAGTGGGACTCACCCTCTGTGCCGTCTGGCTCGGCCTGCTCCTCACGCTGTTTCTGCTTGAATTTCAAGTTGCCATGGTGCAATACAGCTCCTGTCAGCTTGTAGATGCTATTTTTCTCATCATTACTGAAGCCCAGGATTGTAATGGCATCCTGGTATTAGACAGGAAGTACAACAGTGATGAACTGAACGGTAGTTTGCTCACTTACAGTACACTACAGTTCTGTGCTCTCACCAGAACAAATCGGATGGATATATTTGACCTGCTTCTCAGATCCACATGATTACACTTGGCCAACACACTAGCAGTTGGCAGCACAAAATGAGTTTTACACTAGAGGTTGACACGGGAATAGGACTCCCGCGGTTCTTGCGGGTCCCACGGGATTCTGGCAGGATTCGGAGTTCTAGAATCAAAGTTCGGACAGGATCTACAGTCCACAGGAACATGCAGTACATTAATCGTTGTAAACAGACTTTTTTTGGGTGGAAATATGTCATGTGTGGGGCATTTCATAAAAATAAAAAAAATGTGTAGGCTAGGCCTAATATAGTTTACTTAATACAAATAAATATATTGTAATTTCCCCCAAAGCTTCTGTCCGCTCACTCTCGCCCCTCGCTCCTGTTGTAGCCAGTCACTAGGCTACCCCGGATGCCAACCTAAGTTAGTAGGCTAAATGATGAAGCCTTCAATAGAGAAATTGCAACGTCTTGTTGCAGCCAAGGTCCCATCACTAACATTAACATTAAAGCCAAGGAAAGAGCTATGTTTTAGTTCAATTTGATGGAGTTGTCTCTGACAATGAAGGAAGCTAGATCACTGCTTGTAAAAAAAAATAAAAATGTTGCGGTTTAATCAAATAGGCTACCAACCGGAGAGCGGGGCAAGCGGCCTGAAGCGCACAGCTGCTCTACTCCCAACAACTTTATAGTCAAGCCCAATTGTTCGTGTATTTAACTAAACCCATGCAAACTGAGGTGAAGAGTGAAATAAAAATGTATCGACTTATGCAGTAATGCCGCTCAGGTTTATTTGTTATGTTCATGTTGTAAATGTAAATGTATTGTAAATGCTCGTATGCGCAGTGCTCAGCTGTAGGCTCCAGTTGTCTGTCCTCATCCTCCAGCTTTAATCAATCTGCATTTAGGTCTTTTAGAATATGCTCTTATCCAGAGAGGTTTAGGCGTACAGTCAGTGCATTTAATTAAGATACGTAAGACAATCAAAGTCGCATATTGCATTACTGAAATTATTTTACATACTTCCTAAACAAACACAATAGCCTACATACTGTATTTCTGCGCGCAAAAAATGAGCGGACGGGAGTGATTTTTTCTCGGGAAAAACATTGACAGGACAAGATGGGAAAGGAATGAATTTTCACTCCCGCGTCAACCTCTATTTTACACAGTTCCACAGGGCATTTAGTGGTGCTCTCTTGTGGATGTCTTACATGTACAGTATGTGCCTCAAGGCAAAGTGTGAAGGCATGAAGAATGCCCTGAGGCACATGCATAACTAACAATAAGGCATTTAGAATAAAACAAAACAAAATACATGAAAATTCCCATCTGCCACCAAGTTGGAATTGAACAGTGCAATTAGTGTGTATGGTGGTCCTACCCATTCCAAATATAGAATATGATTAACCCTTTGTTTGACTCACGTCTGTGGCATCCAGCTCTTCCTTGTCGTTGATGCTGGCCACAGTGATCTGACCCTGGCTGCACATGGGGAAGTCGTAGGGGTTGGTGGTGATGAGCGACATTTCTATGGACAACAGAGAATGTCTTGTCAGTGAAATCTCTTAGAATTGTGACTGTCCTACCTTTACAGTATCTCTCCCTCCTTTACTCAATAGATGGATACATGTAGTATATAATAAATAGCATCAAAAGAGGGGACTGAGACTCGTGGACTAGTGCATCACAGTCCATTACGTAATAGATATTTCCCAAAGACCTGACCCATATCTAGATGCCTTGTTACCATGGATGTTCTCATTGTAATAGTATTAATAGTGTGGACTATGAACATTTGTGATAAGTTCCATGGAGGTAGGAAAAATTCCCCCCTGAACCTCTACTTTGCCTTACCAATAATATCAGGTTTGTGATTGGTCATCATCTGGAAGAAGATGTGGTAGCCTCTCTCATCCGGAAGCTGGAAGGACACTCTGGACTTCTCTAGCAGGTCTGAGAGAGAAAGAGAGAGCGATTGACACAAAGAGTGAGAGTGTGAGAGAGAGAGAGAGAGAGAGAGTGAGAGAGAGAGAGAGAGAGAGAGAGAGAGAGAGAGAGAGAATTAGATAATTAGATAATTATGATCTCCCAAAAAAAATCTGTGTGAATTTAGTAAAGCATTGAAAAAAAAATCAAAATCAACTCACAGGTCTCAATGTCAGCTTTAGCCAGTTTGCTACCTTGGAAGTGAATCCTGATGAATTTACCCTATAGTAGAGCATGGGGGTTAGAAATAGGTCAACTAAATAAATCTATCATTTTACCTTGATAGACCCTTTAATTGTTACAGAATGTTGGACATCTATTGATATAACAAAAGGGAACTACTGAAATAAATGTTTCCAATCTAAGGTAACTTTCACAGTATGCCCTTCGTACTTACAAAGCGAGACGAGTTGTCGTTCCTCACTGTCTTGGCATTACCGTAAGCCTCCAGCAGAGGGTTAGCTGCAATGATCTGATCCTCAAGAGACCCCTGATTGAGACAAACACAAGTTGCTCAGAAACTGGTAAAGTTAGTTTTTCTCAATCGCTTGAACACAGCCCACCAAACTGAAATGTGTTAGAAAGGTAAAACCTACCTGCATTTTGCTGGGGTCAACTTCCTTCTTGACACCAGAAACTGCAATGGTGGCGAAGTACTGGATGACACGCTTGGTGTTGACAGTCTTTCCTGCACCGGATTCTCCACTGGTTAATATGACAGAGAAAGAGGGGTTTTAGTCACATGTTTGAATGTCAGATTGGCGTTCACTAAGAAATAACACTGAAAAATACACTGTTTTCTTACATAAATTAAAAAATATCCCCACTCATCGACTCATTCCTGTGCATAGCCTAATCCATTCATAATGTCATGTATTTTCATCACACCCAAGAGACCCAACATATTGCAGCAGAAATACTTTCTCAAGTGAAATGTTAGTAAAGAACTTACGTAATCAGGACGGACTGGTTCTCCTGGTCTGTAACCAAAAAACATATTGCTTATCACACTCAAGCAACATTATGGGTACTTTATTGAATTCATAGCATCATCATGAATTTCATTTTGGAACATTTTCCATTCAAGGCAAGAAAAAATCAGATATTCCCAGCAAACTGTTCTAACCTAGACTTGAAAACAGTAGATACCTCTCTAAAGCATATTTTAACTTCCGTCCATGCATCCATCCATCCAGCCATAAACACGTATGGACATCCATTCATCCATGAGAGCGCATACCAATCTGCATGAACTGAAAGGCGTTGTCAGAGACGGAGAAGATATGGGGTGGAGCCTCCATCCTCTTCTTCCCTCTGTAGGCGTTGACAACCTCCATGTCGTACACAGGAAGCCACTTGTAGGGGTTCACCGTGGCACAGAAGAGCCCAGAGTAGGTCTGGATGAAAGGGATTCAACTAAATTAGGGGATTAGCTCAATCAGATTGACTTTTACCTGGATTTATGTGAGGATGTAGGTGTACTATGGTATACTAATGTAGGTCTACTGTATTGGTATGTTTTGGTTTCTACCATTCATTTATGTGTAGTACTGTATGTGTGTGTTTCTCATGTTCATGTGTGTGTGTGTGTGTTTATGCAGGTATCTTACATAGATCATCCATGCTGCATAACGCTCTTTGAGGTTATACAACACAGAGGCTTCATTCAGGTAGGTCATCATGGCCATGTCCTCAATCTTGTCGTACTTAGGGGGGTTCATCTGGTAGACGTCTGCTTCTTTGAACTCTTTTCCTTCCTGAAACAGTCAGAAATCTAGATTATACACAGATCAAACAGGACATGACTGAATGCTTCTTTAAAAAAAAAAATAATGCATACCCCCATCCAATCCAACTACTTTGTTATCAACCACTGACACATACATGGTGATACTTAACTAGTCAATATAGAAAATTCCATGCTATTTTTAATTAGCAGTGATAGAAATGATGTGTTTGAAGGTTATATTCTGCTTACAAAAACAAAGAAATGCTTCTTAATCAATCTTTTGTTACTGATTTCATTTTTTAAAAAGAAAAATAGTTACTGCACAAACTTGAATACTTTTCAAATCAGGCTTACGTCCTTAGTGCCGTCAGGATTCGTGACTGTTACAGTACACTTCCCATCAGCCCTTGCAGTGACCAGACCCTTAAGGTACAGCTCCTTGGTGTCTGCCACATAGCAGGCGTTCTTTGAATCAAACGGTGCGGTTTGTGCCTCCATCCTCTCCTTCTCAGGCTTACGGAGGTATATGGCAGCCTTGCCGTAGATTTGCATCTCCGCGTCCGTACTCATGGTGACGGCTCACTAGGAAAGAGATGAGACAAGAAAACACGATTGACTCTGTGGTGCTTCCTCCCCAGTCAACAGAGCTGTGAGTGGTATCTCTCACAGAACATTTGTCACTTTTCTTATGAAGACTCAAACTATGTCTCACCTTCTTTTCCCCCTTCTACAGATGAATTTGTACTTCTTGGAGAACCCTGGGAAACATTAGGGTGTTGTGAATAAGTCTAAAACATGATCATTTAGCCCCCAAAGGGCTAGAAAACATCATTCAACTCAATCATGACAGCCTCGGCCAATTCAACTACAGGTGCAACTTGTAACATTCATTTTCCAACTCACTTTACTACACATTCTGTCAAGAATTCAAATAAATACCCCAGAAAACCCAGTTAAATTCTAGTCCACCTGTTCAATTTCCAAACAGCAGTAGCATCACTTTCGACCATAAAATGAAAGTTACAGATTTTAATAGAAAAGACATTTAAAGTTAAACACAATAAATAAATAAAAACATTTTAAATCAATGCCACTTGATTGCATATTTTTTAAAATAGACAAGACACATGTAAGATTCTGAGCACACAAAATCTGACAAATGTACAAATCTAAGGAGGCGGAGAGAGTCTTACCACAGAGGAAGAAGGTGTCTGACTAATGGATGCTGGGGTCTCAGCCTGCATATATATCGGGTTGAAACTGCCAACCAAGCAAAAGTTAATTATGGACCACTCTGGTAAAGGAAATGGATTGGATGAGAGACCTCACTAGCGCCACCAACTTCCAGGAGCAACATACTCCCATTACATTACTTTTAAATGTCATATTTGTTTCTGAATTGAATATCACTGAATTGAAATAAATGAGATATGTCATTAATAATAATTATGACAATATCAATAGTTGGATTTTTTAAAATTGATTCAATTGTTACTAACACTGCCACTCAAATACTGTAATATCACTAAAATTGTAATAAAAATCTAATCTTACGATATTTAGTTACATTTTTGTGGCATTAATCCTTATCAACAACTTTCTTTATATTTTGAGAACAAATATATATTATTTTGCTTGTAAACACATCTGAATTGTCTCCTCAGTCACCTCATGCTTGTGAAGGAGTTGGCCGTTACCTCGTGCTTTGCTTAGTTTGATTTGTCACCCTGGTGGAACCATATTTAAAAAATATTTAAAAGCTGGAACACAAACATTTAGGCTTTCAATTAATTACAGCTCATCAAAGTGTTCAATCAACTGTGTAGTTATTTATCTACAGTCTGATCTATTGAAGATGCTGCAGGGGCTTTTATTGGTCTCACATTTCAGTTGGCTAAAACCATCCAGTGGGATTCTTAAGGCTTACATAACATCATTACAGTGCTTCAATCATCTCATCCACTCATATTTCTGACAGCAATATAGCTGCCTCAAACCTCTATTACACTCTGAAGTTAACCGTTTAGCAGCTGGTTTTTAATAAAACTGCTATAAAATTAATAGGGGATAATTACAATAAAGTAACAGATTACTTTCCATTTCCATTTTAATTAATCCTTCACATTACAGTTTTAATATCTTTCTAAAAGACAGCTCTAGCAACTTGTGAAGGAGCCACCATCAGCAGAGACGTTGGTTAAAATGATTTTTAATACATGTAATTCAGCAATGTAATGTACACAGACACCACATGTTAATTTTTATAAATGTATGTCAAATTTAAAGTATTTTGTCTGTAATGTCTTTTTGGTTATGTGTCGGACCCCAGTAAGACCTGCTGTCTCCTAATGAATCAAATCAAACCAGCAAGGTCTTCTTTCAAGTCAGGCATTTCACATTCTGCAATATCTATCTCATCTTTGCTGTTTTAAACCCTCTGCATTTAATAGTCATGTAAATGTTATTTGTGTCTAATATGGTGCAGCCATGTTAATGTTCAATAGCGTGAAACCTTACACAGGGCTGGCCCTAGCCTTTTGGGGGCCCTAAGCGAGATTTGGGCCCCTGTGGAAGTCATGGCCCCTGGGAACATGCCCTGCGTGCCCGGTCGGTCTTAGGCCATGATTACTACAAGTGTAGATAGCTGGCTAGACTAACTACCAATGTAAAAATTAGCTGACATGGCTAATTCAGTGACTATCAGTGACTGACATAAGAACAGAAAAACTGCTGATGCACAACCAAATTGCACCTTGTGTGTTCTACGATTCTAACTCTCAGCAGTAAGTTGAGACCCCGGCTGAGTTCCCCCTAGCGGCAGACTGAGTTCCCCCTAGCGGCAGACTGAGTTCCACCTAGTGGCAGACTGAGTTCCCCCTAGCGGCAGACTGAGTTCCCCCTAGCGGCAGACTGAGTTCCCCCTAGCGGCAGACTGAGTTCCCCCTAGCGGCAGACTGAGTTCCCCCTAGTGGCAGACTGAGTTCCCCCTAGCGGCCGACAGAGTTCCACCTAGCGGCAGACTGAGTTCCCCCTAGTGGCAGACTGAGTTCCCCCTAGCGGCCGACTGAGTTCCACCTAGCAGCCGACTGAGTTCCCCCTAGCGGCAGACTGAGTTCCCCCTAGCGGCAGACTGAGTTCCCCCTAGCGGCAGACTGAGTTCCCCCTAGTGGCAGACTGAGTTCCACCTAGCGGCCGACTGAGTTCCCCCTAGCGGCCGACTGAGTTCCACCTAGCGGCAGACTGAGTTCCCCCTAGTGACAGACTGAGTTCCCCCTAGCGGCAGAATGAGTTCCCCCTAGCGGCAGACTGAGTTCCCCATAAGCAACAGCTTATGTCGCTTATGCCTGGGGCCGGCCCTGACGTTACAGAACGTTCAGACGGAAATGTATTGTGGAGAACAGATATGACTGTCTGTCAGGTAGAATAGAGAATCATGTCAGCTCTATTCAATACATTTCTATTAGCAACGTTCAGAACATTTCACCTGAATACACCCTGCTTGTTTTGTGAGCAGTGTCCACCCAGCACAACAAGAAGCCCCATAGCGGGGAGCTGCTTAATGCACTAGTTGAGCAGGGGGCTGGACTGGACTGACCATCTGGAAGGACCATCAACGCCTTTTCATTTCTTGGACTGTGCTCTCGTCTTCACTTCAGCCAAGGTTTATTGTTTGGTATATCTGCCAACATTTCCACACAGACTAAATCTGGCACCGATGCCACTGTTATTAGACAGAAGATATTAACTTGGCATGTTTGTGTGTGGAGAGAACATTTGTAACATGCAGACTTAGAGTTTATGACATTCAAGTTATTTTAATGTGCAAAGATCTGGCATGATATCTGACCTGTGTTTTTGTATCTGAGGGACATGTTTTCTCTAAGCTCCAAACGTGTTACCCTCCACAATTGGGGGGGTGGGTGTGTCAGAGGACTATGTCCATCTGCCATACCCAACTAGACAACTGTGTATTTGGCCACAAAGACCTCAACTGACTTTACAGATGTGGGTCTTCCCACAATGCAGTGAGCACTGCAGAGATCAGGTCTGGGGTCATTTCAAGTCAATTTAGGAATTGACCTGAAATTATTTCTCATTAAAAGCCTTGTGAAATATTGAATTGTATTTCTTCATTAACACACTGAACGTGATTTTAGGTAATTATGGGCTAAATTGACGATTATGATCAGTTGATTTAGCTGAACCCACTATGTTAGTGCTGGGGTGGAACACGAGCCTGCAAACCATGCAGATGGGCTGTCCAGAACAGGAGTTGCAGGCCTCTGAGATACTGTTAACTGCCAGACATCATTAAACAGTTGAGTGAACTGTCATTGTAAAACTGTCATTGTACATATTGTGACGTATTGCGGCAGGCCCTTCGAAATATCAGACAGTGACGCTTCATCCAATACGTTTTAAGGGTGCTTTAGTTCCTCAGGCAGAGCCGGCCCTAGCCACTTAGCGGGATATAGGGGGCCCCGACCCCCCCCCCCCCACCCCCCAAAAAAAAAAAACGTCCTAAAATCACCACATATAGTGGGGAGAACAAGTATTTGATACACTGCTGATTTTGCAGGTTTTCCTACTTACAAAGCATGTAGAGGTCTGTAATTTTTATCATAGGTACACTTCAACTGTGAGAGACGGAATCTAAAACAAAAATCCAGAAAATCACATTGTATGATGTATTGTGCTCTTGTTGTTTACCGGTCTCGTCCCGTGTATTTTGTATATATTTATACGTGTTTGTGTTGGGTGGAGTAGTAAAACCCCTGATACGTATTCCTGCACCTGTCTGCTAATCATTATACAACGTGACATAAACGAAGCATGTGTGTTTAGTGAGTCTGCCTGATCAGAGGCAGTAGGGATGACCAGGTATGTTCTCTTGATAAGCACGTGAATTGGACACTTTTCCTGTCTTGATAAGCATTCAAAATGAAACGAGTACTTTTGGGTGTCAGGGAAAATGTATGGAGTAAAAAGTAAATTATTTTCTTTAGGAATGTAGTGAAGTAAAAGTAAAAGTTGTCTAAAATATAAATATTAAAGTAAATACAGATACCCAAAGAAACTACTTAAGTAGTACTTTAAAGTATTTTTACTTAAGTACTTAACACCACTGAGTCTAGCCAGCTATATAAACTTGTAGTAATCATGGTTGAATTACCAACTGGGCACGCAGGGCACGATTTTGTTAGTCTCTCTCACTCAGATTTTATATTAACATGGCATAAGTCATGGGAAAATGTGTAGAATTGCAGAAAATGTGTTATAGAATTGGAGGGGTGGGGGGCAACATAATTTAGCTTAGGGTCCCCAAAAGGCTGGGGCCGGCTCTGGAGTTTCCCTGAGACACCCTAGCGCCTTGGCTCACATCAGCATTTTTTACATGATACAATCCATTAAAATGTCACAGCAGTAAAACTATATTTGGATATGAAATATCTGTGGCATGGATCCACAAAACAACCGAGCTGGACTCGGGTTCATTCAGATCTTATTTTCCAGGTCACATATCTTGCTGTAAATTTAGTGTGGGGGCCAATGTCAGCAATGTGAGGACC